TAAGATAGCTCTTTTTAGTAATAACCTTTCCCTTCAAAATTAGTGTTCCATTTTTCTATTGTTGTGTAGCAAGCCACCCCAAAACTTAGAGGCTTAAAACAGCAATAATCTTTTTTGCTCAGGAAATTATAATTTGCAGAGCTTGGCAAGTGCAGGCATCTCTGCTCACGTGGTGGTTTGACAAAGGATGGTGGTTCTGTTTCCAAGATGGTTCACTCATATGGGCCTCCAGGGGTTGCATGGTGGCTGGATTCCAAGAATGAGCATCCCAGGAGATAGGAGTGGGAACTGTCAGTTCTTAAGGCCTAGAAATTGACAGTCCTGCCACATTCTGTTGTTCAAGCAGTCACAGAATCTGGAAGCCAGCGGAGACACACAGACCCCCCCTTCTTGTTTATTTGTTAATATTTTTTATTGATTTCAAAGAGGAAGGGAGAGGAAGAGAGAGATAGGAACATCATTGATGACAGAGAATCATTGATTGGCTACCTCTTCAACGTTCCTCACTAGGGATCAATCCTGCCACCCCGGGCATGTGCCCTTGACTGGAATCAAACCCGGGACCCTTCAGTCCAAAGGCTGATGCTCTATCCACTGATCCAAACCGGCTGGGACTAGCCCCACTTCTTGGTAGGGGAAGTATCAAAGAATTTGGAACTTTATTTGAGAAATGCCATGGTGAGTTAGAAGAGGGATTTGTGAACTTGATTGAATGCTTGCCTTTGTAAAAGCATTACCTTTTGTGAATGGATTTAAGCGTGAGATCTTTCTTTTTCTGTACAAGGTTGGTCTCTGTCTTTACTAGGTATATCCTCACTGCTAACTGTTAGCTCTTCATATTAAAAAAACAAACAAACTCCAACCTAATTTAATCTTCCCTGGCATAGTCTCCTCCAGGATTAAGAAGTTAATTTGTTTTTAACTGGGATCTTTGAGATCTTATCAGCTCCTCCATATGGAGACAGATGCCCTGTCTGAGGGAGCTCTGCTGGGTTTTATATTTGGCCAAAGCGATACGCTAGAAATACAGCGTGCGGTCCTTTCAGACTGAAGCTTGGCTGGTCTTACAGATGCAGGGAACTCCCCACAGGCTGTTACTCACTTGGGTGAGATTAGAGAGCTGGTTTCCTACATAGATCTTAGGATTCTGTACACTAGCTTTCAGTTTGTAGAGGGAGGATTGCATGAAATCGTGAAGACATACCTGCTTTGGGGCGTTCACATATTATAGCTATTCCTCCCAGATAATCTAAGAACTGTTCTTTAAATTTTTTATTTTTAAGTGCAGTTTACATTCAATGTCATTTTGTATTAGTTTCAGGTGTACAGCATAGTGGTTGGAGTAGACAACCATATACTTTACCAAGTGTCCTTTCTCACCCCCACCCTCGATATTTCAAGTGCCTACCCGGCACCATATGTAGTTATAATTGACTATATTCCTTAGGCTATACTTCACATCCCTGTGACTGTTTTGTTCCTATCAGGACTATTTCTTAGACTTCTTACTGCCTATTTCCTTTCTGCCTTAAACTACTTTTCTAAACTCTAAGGACAGTTCGGATCAACTCCAGTCTTTTGAATGAGGCTGTTTGTTTCATCAACCCTTATTCCACTCAGATGGTATTTACAGTACTTGACATTGGCAGCAGCGCAAAGTTTAAGAAACAGAGAAAACCAGAAACTTTGGCTCAATGTAGAGCAGGCAGCTTATAAATTAGTATAAGAATTATCCAGACTCCTTGGAATCTAGAGGAGGGAAAAGTTACTTCTAGGTGAGGGTTGGTAAAAGGCTTTTTCTCAGGCGGAGCTGGAAAGGGCAGTTCAGAGAAACAACACAAGACAAAATATAGAGTAGCAAACATACAAAGAACTGCAAATAGAGAGCATGGCTGAGTTAGTAGAGATGGAAAGTTAGTCAGAAAGAACCCCAGAATGGTAACATATTCTTTTTTCTTTTTCTTTTTTTGATATATTTTATTGATTTTTTACAGAGAGGAAAAGAGAGGGATAGAGAGCTAGAAACGTTGATAAGAAAGAGTTCATTGATCAGCTGCCTCTTGCATACCCCCTACTGGGGATGTGCCCACAACCAAGGTACATGTCCTTGACCGGAATTGAACCTGGGACCCTTCAGTCCGCAAGCCAACGCTCTATCCACTGAGCCAAACCGGTTTCGGCGCATATTCTTTTGGACAGGCTTTGTCCGACTTCCCTTTCATTCCTCAAAGAAATCCTTCTTTTGGAGGTCACCTGAACTCATTTACAAGGAGGGCATTTGATAGTGCATATAGAGCATGACTGTAGGCAAGGAGTATTGTAAACCAAGGTGCCCAGTTTTTATTGGGGATTTTTTTATGGTTGCTTAAATCATTCCCCGCTTGGCTCAACGTTCATCTTCCCTGCCCTCCCAGAAGATTGGGCTGATATTCTGTAGCTCAAAGCCTCAAACCTCTAATCACGTGATCGGTCTCTCTGGGGTGACCTGCTCCCGTGCTGAATCATGTTGTTAGTATCAACTATCCAGGGGCCCACCCTACAGACCTTATCAGATTTTGTAGTTCCAATTAATGTTCTTTATAGAAAAGATAATCTTGTTTGGGCCATATTTCCCTTTTTCTTCATGTTTTATAATTTTGTGTTGGCATCTACACACATGAAAACACCTCCCTTTCCCAATCTTTATGGCCTGGTTTTGTACAGGAAAGGACTCGCACAAATGAGCCTCCCTAGAGATTCTAGGGGGGGCCTCTGACACCTTTTGGTGGGAGCTTGTATGTGTGATTTTCCTGGGCTGGTGTGTGCAGTTTCTCAGAGGGCCTTGCTGGCTCCCTCTGGTGCCTGTTTGTGGCACTGCAAGTTCTCCGGTGCTACAGCAGCAAGGCTGCCATATGTACCCTGTATGTAACCTCTTGTTCTCAGATGCTACCAGCCATCCAGAGTATGTTGGCTCATCAGCGCCCCACGTCAGGTGAGACAGATACCATTTGTGTGGTCCTATGAAAAGCTTCTGGTGCACCAGAATCACTGTCTACTCTTCTCCCTCTCCTAAAGGAGAGAAGCCTTGAGCTGTGTATGTGCCTTCTCCCAATCATGCCAAGTGCGTGGGCTATAGGATGCCACTCTTCTTTATCTTTGGTCTCAGCAGCATTCAGACATTCATGCTGTGCCAGTTCCTACAGCACTGCAAGTGAGGCATGGCAGAAGCCGTCTTCGGCAACCCTCCTGGAGTTGCAGTGCTGGATGCACTGTGCTCTCTCTCTCCTGAAGGAAAAGCCAGAGGCTAGGTGTTGTTGCCTGGCACTAAGCTGTGGTGGCTTAGGAGAGGCTGGCACGGGGAAAGTGAGCTTTTTCCCCCTCTCTGTTCCATTGCAGCTGCTTTCAGCTTTGTGCATGTCCTTGTTAAAGCAGAGTTTCTGTGGTAGAATGAGGACTGGCACTTCATTCTACCATAGCACTGATGTCACTCCCTCCTCCCCATACGTCTTACACATCTGGTTCAGAAGTGCAATGACTGCCGAAACCGATTTGGCTCAGTGGATAGAGAGTCGGCCTGCGGACTGGAAGGTCCCAGGTTCGATTCCAGTCAGGGGCATGTACCTTGGATGCGGGCATGTCCCCAGTAAGGGGTGTACAGGAGGCAGCTGGTTGATGTTTCTCTCTTATCAATGTTTCTAACTCTCTATCTCTTTCCTTTCCTCTCTGTAAAAAAAAATCAATAAAATATTTTTTAAAAAAAGAAAAAGAAAAGAAATACAATGACTTCAGAAACTCGCTCACATATTTACTATGACCCTGTATGTTTCCCACATTACAGCAAAAGACTTTGAAGCCACACTGAGTATAATCACAGTCTTCCCTTGGTAAAGCTACATTCTGTTCTTTATTCATTTTTCTTTTTCTATCCTTGCAAAGTCTGGCTTTTTGGAATGGTGGAGAAAATGAGCCTAGTAATAGCAATATAGGTTGACCTTTATATATAGGTTTCTTTATATCTAGAGTACATGATGATGCATTATTTAAGACTAAAACACAAAAGGAAATGCTTAAACCTTCCACATAGGAAGTTTTCCCAGCAAAATAGGTTTGTATTCATATTATCCTTTTTTATTTTTAAAATGTTTTTATTAATTTCATAAAGGAAGAGAGAGAAATAGAAATATCAATGATAAGAGAGAATCATTGATCGGCTACCTCCTGCATGCCCACAACTGGCGATCGAGCTCCCAGCCCGGATAATATGACCTGACTGGCATCAAACCACGATCTCCTGGTTCATAGGTCGGCACTCAACTACTGAGCCACGCCAACCAGGCCATGTTATCCTTGTTAAAAAACTGTAATATCTATTTTAAAGGCTTTAAATACTTGATAAACAGTAATCACATCATTGCTAGACTCTCATACTGATGATGGTAATAGTCATACTTATTCTAATGGCAAGTATAATAAGTTTACTATGTGACCAGCACCAGAACATAAAATAGAAATGTGCTGTTATAGCTGTAAATAGTTAACACAGACTCCACAGTCACAATGTCTGTGATCGATCCTAGTTCCACCACTGAGCCAGGTGATGGGGGTCCGTCCTAGTCAGCCATGTTTTTTCTTTTGTGCCTCAGTTTCCTCATATAAAATGGATATGATAATCACTAGAGGCCCAATGCACAAAATTCGTGCAAGCGTAGGCCTGCCTTCCCCCGGTTGCCGGCACCGGCTTCCCTCTGGCACCCGGGACCCGGGCTGGCTTCCCTCCCACCGGGCTGGCTATATTCCCACAGGTAATATAGATGATACTGCCTATCTCATGGGTTGTTCTGTGAATTGAATGAAGTGATTTATAGACAAATTTTTAGAACAGTGCCTGAAATTTAGGAAGTTCTAGATTCTTATTAGCTATTAAGAGCAGTTGTGATGAGATTATTCTTTTAAAGCTTAATAACTGTTACAGATCATGTTTGGAAAAAAAAAAAAGATTGTTCTTTCTCCTTCATTTACAGAGTTGAAACTGTGGGCCAACCAGATCGAAGAGACAGTATAGGAGTGTGTGCAGAAAGGCAGAATGGGTATGACTCTCTGCAGCGGGACCAAGCAGTGTGCATTAGTACAAACGGTAAGAGAGCAGTCTGTCAGCCCTTTGACACATATATATTAATTACTATTGTAAGATATGAATCTGTCCCAATATCACACATTTATAGCAGGAGGTGAGAAGATATAGGTCTTCATGACATATCCAAATGGCTACTGTCTACCAGGCATTGTTCTGTGCCCTTTATAAGTATAAATTACTTAATCTTTTAAACAATTTTTTGAAGTGAGGAGTAATAGTATATCCATTTTATAGATGATGAAGGCTGAGCCACAGAGAGGTTAAGTGACTGGAGTTGGTGGGCTGGGTCTCGCTCCAGGGAGTCTGCCTCTGCAGCCTGCTTGCAGGGTCATCTAAATTAAGCCTAGATTAGGGAACTAGGGAGAAGGTTTAATTTGTTATATACCTCTCATGTTGTTTGTCCCTTCCTTCATGGTAATCACACTTTCGAAAGTCACTATCAGATGTGTTCATATCTTGTGGTGTGGGTCAAGCAGCAGGTAGAACGAGATTCCTGTTCATTCCGTGTGAAACGATCTTGCTATTCCACAGGATGTAATTGTGTAATGGAGTCAAGCTTCTTTTGATACTACTCACATGGGAAATTCATAGTCTCTGTTCTAAAAGAGAACCCTGCCTCGACCAGAATTCTAAAATGTAATTAAAGCTTTAACTTTCCTTTCTGCCTTGAGGATGGGGGTTAATTAAATGCCTTATCTTTGACCAGTTGGCATTCCAAAATGTTTTCTTTGTTTGAATTGGGAAATTAGCTGTGTTCTGAATAATCTAGACTCTATTTCAGTTCTTAGTTGTTGCTCACAGGTAAATGACTTTTCACCTTAACATTTTAGGTGCAGTTTTTGTAAATGGAAAAGAAATGACTAATCAGTTGCCCGCCGTTACTTCTGGGTCCACTGTCACATTTGACATTGAAGCTGTGACTCTGGGATCCACCAATAATAACGAAGGCGGAAACTTCAAGCTTCGAGTAACTATTAGCTCTAATAACAGAGAAGTGGTTTTTGATTGGGTACTTGATCAGTCTTGTGGTTCTCTTTACTTTGGATGCTCATTCTTCTATCCTGGATGGAAAGTGTTGGTGTTCTAGACTTTTGGATGATTGGCTTTGGTTTGCAGGTTTTTAATGTAGCTGTTCTCAGCCCAATTTAGTTTTAATTTATTTAAAAAAAAAAAAAAAAGGTAGATTCATCTCTCAGTTAAGCCATGAGAAATGGAAATTGTTTACTGGATTTGTTTTGGAATATTTTAGCAATAAGAAACTTGAATGTTATGGACAAAAGTGTAATGCAGTTATTTTTATTTTTAGCATAGTGTTCATTAAAATGTCATATCACAATATAATGAATAAAACAAATTAGTTTTTAAAATATTAGGAGGTACAGAAAGCCCTATACCTTTTCACACTATACTTTTAAAAGTTGGCTATTAAGACAGAAAAATTTAATGTATCATTATTTTATTAAATCTCCATCTCTTAAGAATCCAGGGCCATGTAAGACTTTAGTATAAAACAACAGGACAAGGCCTGGTCTGTAATATGCATTCACTTTTGGGTTCTCCACTTACGTGTTGAATATGCTCTTCATATTCAGGCATTCGTAAGCAGTATTGAATTTTATCACATATTCAGTATTCTTAAAAGTCCCCAAAACATGATAATTTTTGCAGTTTTTGTAATTACTGAGCAAATGTCTATAATAGGCAATATATTTTATTTTGTTCTTATAGTTTGATTCATGATAGGCTAGAGGACTTTTACAGGGTAAAACTACTTGTGGAAGTAGTATGCACAGCAGTGTTAGCCACATCACATGTACAGAACATGTACATGTGCATGTCCAGCCACCGTGATATGCATAGTAACATTTTAATGGTATGAGCTGCAGTCCAGTTTAATGTCAGTTTATAAATGGTCGTTTAGCGGACCAAATATAGGGTAAATACTTGACCTATTTTTGACAACTTAAATTTGTGTAAAATATTTATTTGAAAGACTTACTTAGTACGTAAAATGATTATCTTAATTTGCTATATACCAGCCTACAGAATTTTTTAAAGTGAATTTTTTTTTTCATTTTTAATAGTAGAAAAGCAAGTCTGATATTTTTGTAAGATAATTTATTTGGGGATTCGCATTCCCTGTTGGACAATCATGACCTTTTTTCCTGTGCCTTATGTATAAGTAAGTCATCTTTCACTGAAGATGTGTTAGAATGTAGATGCCTGGTCCAGCTGTCTAAAAAAATAAAACCTGAAAGTTAAATGAGTGTATTTTTTTTTTTCTTGTATGATACTTGAATCCAATTTTAATCTTTACTTTTAAGAAGGGGAATAAAGAGTTTCTTGTGAAAAATTACTTATACTTACATTCTGTATATAAGTTTACTTATACTATATTCTCTGATACATAACACATACACAATAAATGTTAGATTGAATGAATATAGATAATTATTTTCTTCAGAATGTCATCTTATTGCCTCATTCAGCAAATATTTATTGAACATCTTTCTTATTCTTCATTGGAGAATGGTATCTTAAATTTATACTTCTAGAATCTACCTATTTATAGAAGTGACTTAAACCTAACTTAGTTTTAGACAGGTGTGGATTTTTAAAAAATATATTTTTTATTGATTTTTTACAAAGAGGGAGGGAGAGGGATAAAGAGTTAGAAACATCGATGAGAGAGAAACATCGTTCAGCTGCCTCCTACACACCTTTTCCTGGGGATGTGCCCGCAACCAATGTACGTGCCCTTGACCGGAATCGAACCTGGGACCTTTCATTCCTCAGGCCAATGCTCTATCCATTGAGCTAAACCGATTAGGGTCAGGTGTGGATTTTAATATTTTGAAATCTGAAACTAATTTAAATATTGGAATCAGGCTTTTGATGTCAGGTCTAAGAACTCTGTCTAGCTCTAGACCCCAAAGATTTTCTCCTATGTTTTTTCTTAAAAGAATTATAGTTTAACATTTTACATGTAAGTCTGTGGTCTATTTTGACTTACTTTTTTAAAAATTATATTTTATTTATTTTTTTACAGAGAGAAAGAGAGAGAGAGAGCTAGAAACGTCAATGAGAGAGAAAAATCGATCAGCTGCCTCTTGCACACCCCCTACTGGAGATGTGCCTGCAACTCAGGTACATGCCCTTGACCGAAATCGAACCTGGGACCTTTCAGTCCGCAGACCGATGCTCTACTGCTGAGCCAAACCGGTTTCGGCCATTTTGACTTACTTTTTGTATAAGGTGTGAGACTGAGGTTAAAGTCCATTTGGGAACAGTAGATGTCTATTGCCCAGCACCATTTGTTGCAAAGGCTGTCTTTCCTCCATTGAATGGCTTTTGCAACTTTGTCAACAAAAGTTTTTGTTGGTTATATTCCTGGGTTCTCTCTTCTGTTCTATTGATCTACGGGTCTGTCCCTCTGCCAATACCACACAGTATGATTACTGACCTATGTAATGTTTTAAAAGAAATCAGCTGATAGACTGATTTCTTTCTAATTCATCTTTTTCCAAATTGTTTTCCCAGTCCTGTTATCTTCTCATGCAGCTTTTAGAGTAATCTTTACCTGCAAAAAATAAATCTTGCTGGAATTTTGATAGAAAATTGTGTTAAACCTGTTTACCAATTTGGAGTTGACATCTTTACTATGTTCAATTTTCCAGTTCATGAACACAGTATAGATTTTTTATTTCTTTAAATCAGCATTTTATAGCTCCCAACATACAAGTTCTGTACATATTTTGTTACATTGACATATAAGTTTTGTGTTGTGTGTTTTTTAGTGACTCTAAATGGCATATTTTTTATCTTGGTTTCCACATGCTGATTACAAATATAGAATTGCTCTTTATATATTTATCTTGTATCCTGTCAAATTGGTAAGCTCAGCCCTCCTTCCCTCTTGAGATTTTGTCTTTGATCCAAGGATTTTCTAGAAAAATCTTTTTAGTTTCCAAGTGTCTTTGAGGGTTTTCATGTTACCTTTCTAGTTTAATTATATTTTGTTTTGAGAACACACTCTGTATGATTTCAATTATTTTAAATTTGTGAGGTTTATGTCATGCTCCAGGATATGGTCAATCTTGATATATGTTCTTTGGTATTTGAAAAGACAGTAGTCTGCTGTTGATGGGTGGAACTTTTTATAAATGTAGATCAGAATCCTGTTGGCTGATGTTGTAGAGTTTTACATCTAATTTTCTGTCTAGTTGCTCTGTCAATTTTTGAGAGGGGCATGTAGAAGTCTCCAATTATAATTTTGAATTTGTATTATCCTATCTAATAAAGACAGAATATGCTAATTGACCCTCACGCAGTCACAGGAAGATGGCAGCACCCACAGTCAATAAGGAGGAACTGTGCTAATTGACTGCCCTGCCCTCAAAGATGGCATAAACCACAGCCACAAGATGGCAGCACCCAGTCCCCTCAGCCCTGTTGAGCTGAAGGTGCGTGACAAGGCTGGGCCCACCCTCAGGCAGGACTGGCTGCTTTGTGCACCTGCCTCCAGTGTCCTCCAGTCCCCTCATCCCCTCCAGCTGCCCAGGGCTGGCCTGAGGTGCAGGCAAGCCTCTGATGTCAGCTGCCCAGGCGCCCAGGGCCACCCGAGGCTCAGGTAACCAGGGCCGGCTGAGGCTTGTGCTGCTGGCAGTGGCAGCAGCAGAGGTGTGATGGGGAGTCGCCTTTCCCTAATAGCTGGGTCGCCTCCCGTCCCTGAGGGCTCCCGGACTGTGAGAGGGGGCAGGCTGGGCTGAGGGACCTAGTGTATTATATATGTATGTTGTATATAATTTATATATCTATCTCTTTTCAGTGTGTTGGTCATTATTTTACCAATTCAAATAAAACATTGAATCCTTATCTTTATTCTTCCCCCATTTCCAACATAATTTTCTTGCTTAAATATTTTTTCAAGAAATTTTGCTTTAACCATAAAATGTTTTAGAAAATTGAATGAAAAGCCTATTATATTTACTTATATTCTCTTTACCATGTTATTTCTTTGTTCATAATGTTCCAATATTCATTCTTGTATTATTTTTTCTATTTGGAGAACTTTGCTTAACCATTCTTTTAAGGTTAAGTTTGCTGGTATAAAATTCTTATATCTGAGAATGTCTTGATTTCTTCTTCATTCCTGAAGGATATTTTCATTGAGTATAGAATTCTGGGTTAACAATTCTTTTCTTTCAATACTTGGGAATATTATGCTACTTCTCCTGGTTTCTGATTTTTTTTTTTTAAACCTATTATTCTAATAGTTTTTCCTGGTAGGTAAAGTGTCACTTTTTTCTGGTTGCTTTCACTGTTCTTTTGTCTTTAGTTTTTATAAATTCAATGATTTTATATATTTGCATAGATTCCTTGTTTTCCTCTGCTTCTTGCCTTTTTAGTTTTATGTCTATGGCCAAATTTGGAAAGAGTGCAGCCATTATTTCAAGTACTACCCCCTTTTTTTTTTTTAAATATATTTTATTGATTTTTTACAGAAAGGAAGGGAGAGAGATAGAGAACTAGAAACGTCGATGAGAGAGAAACATCAACCAGCTACCTCTTGCACACCCCCTGCCGGGGATGTGTCTGCAGCCAATGTCAAGTACTACCCTTTTTTCATCCCAGTTTTCTGAGGTTCTATTTATTTTTAAGTCTGTTCAAATCAGGTTATTTCTGTTGGTCTTTTAGTTTACTGATTCCTCTGTCACCTCCTGCCATTCTACTGTTGGGCCAATCTGTGAGCTTTTTATTTTTCAGTTCTAAAAACTGAAAAACTGTCCATGTGGCTCTTCTTTTACCTTCTATTTCTTTTCTAAGATGTTCTATATTCTTTGCTTGAGGCTATTCATTTATTTTTCATTGTATTCATTGAAACCTACTTTTCACGGTGGTTGTATGTCTACTTGACTGGGCTAAGGGATAGGTAGCTAACCATTATTTCTGGGTGTGCATCTGAGGATATTTCTAGAAAATATTAAAATTTGAATTGATAGATTGAAGAAAGTAGTGGGTGAGCATCAGCCAATTTGTTGAGGGCCTGAATAGAACAAAAAGCAGAGGAAGGTTGAATTCACTCTGCCTGTTGAGGTGGGATGTGGATTTTCTGCCTTCAGCTCTCCTGGTTTTAAGGCCTTCAGAACTGGACTGACAAGCCATTTTCTATTGAAATGTGGACATTTTTGTTGAGACTGGATATTATTTAAACCTGTCAGCTGGCTTTTTGACACCACTTGAGCAGATTGAGGGGAGGGGCACTGCCTCATTACTACCCCATCATTCTAGGCCATGGTCAAAGTCCTGACTCCACCAGGCTTTTTCTGAAATACCCTATCAGAGGGGGAGAGGGCTTCATCACTGCTAGTGGAGATGGAAGTCTAGGCTCCTTCACCACAGGCTTAGGGGTATTTATCATTGTCTGGTGGGTTGAGAAGTCCAGTTTCTCTACTTGGCCTGTAGGATAAACTCCTGGAGAGTAGTTAGGGCAAAGATTAAATGCATTGATTTAAAATTCTTAAATCCTCACCATGAAACATTGATCAGGTACCTTCCATAGTGCCCTGATCCCAAACCTGCGGCTCAGGTATGGAGACCAGGAATTGAACCAGCAGCTTTTGGTGCACAGCACGCTCAACCAACCGAGTCACTCTGGCCAGGCTATTGTGATCCTAATAAAAGTACCAGAATGCTCTCTCTAGAGGTTGTACCAATTTATTTTCCAAAAATGTCTTTAAAATTCATCATAAAAATTTTAAAAATAGAATATTACTTTTGTTTCATATCTCATTAGTACTAATATTTTTTTACAATTTCCAATTACCACCAGAAATATTTTGAGTGTTTATTTACATATTAGCAAACTTTCATCTTTAGCAAACTGAATCTATGTTCTTGATCTTACTCCTTTTTTCTAGTAACTTTTAAAAAATATTTTTATTTCCGAGAGGAAGATAGAGAAACATCGATAAGAGAGAATCATTGATTGGCTGCCTCCTGCATAACCCCCATTGGGGATCAAGCCCACAACCTGGGCATGTGCCCTTAACCGGAATCAAACCTGGGACCCTTTAGCCTGCAGGCCAACACTCTACCCACTGAGCCAAACCAGCTAGGACTTTTCTAATAACTTTTATCTTTGGCCTTTTTTCTCTGTCTAGTTATATCCAATCTTGCCATCCATTCTCCCCCAAATTCTTCATTTGCCCGTTTCCCTTTTACTATGGCCCCACTTTTCATATACTCTGTGACTTGAAAAGGAGTTGGAGATATTTAATACACTGATTAAACCTGTTTGCTATCCCTTACCTCCCTTGAAGTTGCCATTTTACTGTTGTGGGACTGCCTCTTTTTTGGAACTCCTCTCTCATTCCTCTATATTGCAGTGCCATTCAACAATTACTTTTTGGGCACTTAATTCACAATAGTCAGTGTTGTGTGAACTATTACAATACTACTCTAGACCTGGCTGATTTGGCTTAGTGATAAGAGCATGTGGACTGAGGGGTCCTGGGTTTGATTCTGGTTGTGGACATAGGCCCGGGTTGTGGGCTCAATCCCCAGTACGGGGTATGCAGGAGGCAGCTGACCAGTGATTCTCTCATCATTGGTTTCTCTCCCTCCCTCTGTTATCAATAAAATAAATATATATATTTTAAAAATAGCATTCTAGAATTTCTTCCTATGTAGGTTCTCCCTTCCCAAATTCTTACAGCTGTGGCCACCTAAAATATAAGTTGGCTTGTATCTGTGCAGTAAAGCTCTTAAATACTTCCTGCTGCTTGAAACCCAAACCTTTAACATGGCATGTAAAGCCCTCATCACATCACCAACTAAGCTGAGCACCAACTAAGACCATTAGACAGTACATACAATCAGTGAGAGTGTTAATGGTCTAATGAAAAGGAAACAAGTGCTTAAACACACACAAGTTTTGGGAAAATACAGGGGCACTCAGTTCAAAGGATACATGGAAACATGTACAAATAAAAGGTTACTAATAAATAAAGCAAGAACAGCTGAAAATTGTCAAATCTTCTGTAAAGTTCTCTATTCAAGTTTTTTACAACTACTGACTCTCATGGAATGTAGTATATAATTATGTAGTATATAATTTTATTATAAAATATCACTTTATAACTATCATTTGTATCCCGCTCTAGTCTGAACTTTTTGAGAGCCAAGATAAATTCTTTTTCATTAAAAAGTGAACAGTCTGGCTGGCCTAGCTCAGTGGTTGAGAGTTGACCTATGAACCAGGAGGTCATGGTTGGATTCTCCGTCAGGACACGTCTGGATTGCAGGCTCAATCTTCAGTGTGGGGTGTGCAAGAGACAGCTGATCAATGATTCTCTCATTAATGTTTCTCTCTCTCCCCCTCTTTACTTCCTCTCTGAAATCAATATATGTTTTTAAAAAAGGAAAGAATCCACTACCAAAGATGGATAACTGCTAATATTGACATTGCTTTGAACTATAAGTTTTAAAATATATTTTGGTATTACCATAAAGAACATACTCAAGTTGAAATAAATGTCACTAAAACTGAAAGCAAGTTTCACATTAATTTTTTCTTTCTCTTAGCTTAAACAGATATTTCTCATTTTTCTGGAGGCTGCAAAGTCCTTTCTCAAGCTCTTACCAGCTTTGACTGATAGGTGTACTTCTGGATCCTTAATATCCTAAACAAATCCAAGTTTTAGTGCACAAATTAACAATGCATAAAATAACAAAACAGAATACAACTTTTATATTATTGAACTTTATGTACAAAATCATTTGATTTCAAATAAACATTTAATGTAAAAACAAACGTTCTTTTAAACTGATTTTTTTTACATCTACTGTACCTTTCAAATGCTTTATCATCTTACATGATTTCTTCAAAATCTCTTATCAAGGGGTACATATAGAAAAGCATTTTTTTTATAAATAGAAACAAAGGGATTTTTTTCAGCTCTTATAAGATGACATAAAAAGTTTACTCAACAGAAGTAATTTCATTACTATTTGGGGGAGGGAATCACCAACTTTTTGTGCAAAAAATGCTAGCCTTCTTTTAAGCATTAAGAGCATAACTGCTTAAGAAATGACATAAGCAAAATTTCTACACCTACATCTCCCCTAAAATAATCTATTTTTTTTTTTTTTTTTTTTTTACATATGTGCACAGCTTTAGCAAATTAAAGCCGGAGAGAAATGCTCAAGATCTGCTATCCATAGGTGTGATCAGAGTTTACTGTAACTCATTTGGAGAGCTTACCAATCAAGGTGTATGAAAGCTGCAGTTTCCCTCTTTCCTATTTCTTAAACACAAAAATTAATAACTAAGAGTTTAATACTGGATGACAAAGCACATCCACACTATCAGTTAAATAGCCTCACAGTTAAACACATCTTAAAGACCAATCAAATCAGTATTTACATTTTATAAATTTCTGAAGACACCATTAGAAAGCTTATATATCCCTTCATTAAACAAAATAGGGAACTGCATCTGATGGTGGTGGAATGAAATTAAAAAATTAAAAATACCTGTATATACAGCAGCATTGTTCCTTTATAAATAAAGAATATGAAAATGCAATTATCTTTAAGGATAATAAAAAAATTGAGGTGATGTTACTCAACCACAGTGCTTGAAGTTGGAATAAAAATCTATTGGTGCTTATTAATATGCCAGTAGTGAAACCACTTTCTGTTGGAGAAAATCCAACTGCAAATATGTGCATAAAACACATATAACACAGGGCAAAATTGCTCAAAACAATTCAAGTCAGCTTATCTGTACTGGATATTCTAATCGTGAAACGCATTACGAAGACATCCTTATAAAGAAAAAAAACGTTATGTTTTCTGGTTCATTTCTATAGAACATTTCTTCCCTCAAAAGTGGCATCATCAAAATCTCAAATTCTTCCCTTGGTTTATAATCCTAATGAAAAGATGTGGACAGCTTAATTTTCCATGTGTTCACCTAACTGGGGGAAGAAAAAAACCAAACTGTAAAATGTTCAAGTTTAAGAAAATATACTGGGTGAGCAATATACTAAAATTATCAACAAAAAATAAATGGTAAGTAATCTCTAAACCAACATAACATTTCACTGTCAGATGTGAAAAATTACCATCTCAAACAGGCATAAGATGAAGAAGTGCTTTTTTCAAATTGTAAAATCATTTTATGCAATGCAAAATATCTTGAGTGTTGTAATTTTTCATTTTAAATTGATTTCAAAATCAAGGATCAAGGTTTGATTGCAAATGGTAATGCAATATAATTTCACAAAACCCTTCAATTTTTAAAAAAGGGAATCACATTCCAATTTTCCCTCTCCTAGAAAATATTTCACAAAGCAAAAAAACAGCCAGTCACAAATGCAAAAAAAAAAAAATTATAAATATATGAAATAATTTCTATATTATCAATTTATTTCATAAGACAATTGTTGAAGTTAAAAAATACTTTCTTTGAAGTATTGCTTTTCATGCTCAAGAGAATGTTATAATGACATCAATAAAAATGATATACATGTAATGCTGCATAATGAAGTGAAGTAGAACCCTGATACAAATATCCTTGTTGAAATCATGTACTTCATCTTAACAGTGCCTGTTTGGAATCGATGATTAAAAAACAAAACTCTTCCTAGAGGCTGAACTCCCTAGAATGCAGTTTCAGTGTTTGTCCATGACACAGGGTTAGGCCTTTTCTTCTCAGAGTTTTTGCTTTTTGTTCTGTTTTGAAACCCCTGAGACACCATCTGTTTCCGAAGCTTTCTCTTTTGAGTTAATTTCACTAAATCCATTTGCTGTCCCATTTTGTTCTTCAGTGATATCTTCATTTGCAGGTGAAGCAGATTCTCCTTTTTCTAGTTTTTGCTGCATTTCACGGAGCTTGGTAACAGCTTTATCTATTGACATTATGCTAATAAGATTAAAGTCATGCATGCTGACTAGATGAAGCATGAAGTTTCGACATAAATTCTTCTTAATTATTGTCTGTCCATAGTTTTCTACAAACAGCATACAGGCGTGATTCATTTGATTGTCAGCAATAAACCTATTTAATAAAAAACACACAAAACATCAATAACAATACAAAGCATTTTTGTCAAATGGAATAGTGATAACTATTATAGAACAGTAAGACTATCCAAATCTAGTAAACGATATTTAGCAAGAAGTAACACTATAGTAAATGAGATTCAATAACTTGAATGAGCCTAGCATTTAAAATATTTAAAGAGATGTGATTTAATCAGTTTAAATATCACTTGTTTTTCCTAATTACATACAGCAGTATTGAAAGAATCTCTTGCCGTATCCCTTTCATTAACTCTATGTTCCCAATATATCCTTTATTTTCTCCCTTGATTTTGATATACTTTCCTATTTCCGAAGGAATGTTTTTCTACATTTTCAGATTACGGTAGACCTCTAAAAAAACAAAGATGTCACAACAAGTAAATATGGCACAGTGTGGTGGTTTTGGTGGAAAATGAATTGAGGGTATATACAATGAATAAAATTTGAGAGAACCAAATAGGAGAATGGTTGCTAAGTTATCCACAGGAACTGAGTGTCCAACCAAGTCCCAAAAGGCCTGCCTGAAGATTCTTAGATATCCAAATAGTTTGCCCAACTACCTGCCTCTTTATAATGCCAGTATACAATGAACCCCTAGAATTGTGCTAACACATTCAGATCAAAGAATTAAAATAGAACTCAATAAAGTAATATGAGTGAAATCCTATCTTGAAACTAGCATTATCAGGACAAAAGGAAAAACATTTAACTCAAGCTTCTGCATACATACTTTACTCCTTAGTACCCCTAGCCTGGGGAACCAGGCAAACATTTTCGATAAAAGCTATAGTAAATATTTAGTTATACAAGCCACATGTGATCTGCCATCTTCCTCTTTTCCTTTTTCAGAACCCACTAAACATGTGAAGATTACCCTATCCTATATAATAATCCTATATAATAAAAGGCTAATGTGCAAATCGACCAAAGGGTGGAATAACCAGTTGCTATGATGTGCATTGACCACCAGGGGCAGATGGTCAATGCAGGAGCTGCCTCTTAGCCAGAAGCCAGGCTTACAGCTGGCGAGCGCAGCAGCAGTAGCGGCAGTGCTAAGGACCCCTTGGGGGATGTCCGACTGCTGGATTAGGGGAAGTAGGCGTAAGCCAGCAGTTAGATATTCTCCCGAGGGGTCCCAGACTGTGAGAAGGTGTAGGCCGAGCCAGGGGGCTCTCCAGCCCTCCTCCCTTTCCCCCTGAATGTTGTGCACCTGGCCTCTAGTTCTTAGATGAAGGCAGTATACAAAAAAAATAATAATAATAAATAAAATAAAAAAAATGCTACAGGCCATGCAACCAGGCATCTTTATGTACCAACAACCCTTCACTCCCAAGAGTAAGGAAACAAAAGTATTCCCTCCCATTTCACTATCTATAAATGAAAAAACTTTGGATGTTTGTACCATAGAAGAAAGTCTTAAATGAGGATCTAATAATAATGAAGGCAGAGAAGAAAATGTGTAGCACAGGAAAATAGTTCGCAAAGGGAAGGAGGCAGATCTGCAGAAGAAATAATGCTTTGGAACCTGAAGTGACAAAGGCATGAGAAAGAGGATTGTTTTACCTTGCCTCCTATGAAATGGTAGTAAATAAAAAAAGCTACTTATATTTTATTCTGATTAAGCAATTTTTAAAATTGTGATAATAACTGTTAAGTAATTTTGGGGATTTCCAGGGATATAGTACATGGCATTTCCTTTTTGTATTCTCTGGCAATAAAAGGAATAAAAATTGGGTCATTAAAAAGGGACATATTAAAAATAAAAATCTGCTGAAGAACTAGCACTTTCCTGATACATTCTCTGAGCATCACCATTTTTCTCTATGCAATTATAACACTTTGGATTAGGGTAAGATTTAGGACACAATAATCTAAATTAACGGAATTTCATATAATATTCTAACACAAGTAGATTTATAGAATGTGAAGCAGTAAAAAGAATATAAAGGAAATGGAATATTTAAATTTAGAAATACCCTACCCATGCTTCATGACATGGAGATTCCATAGTTTCATCACTTCTTTCTCTCCTTCATTAACATCAGAAAATTCCTCAATTTGCTAAAAATAAAAAAATTTAAAAAAGAAAAACACCTATTAAATGCAGAGAAATAATATAAGTATTATTCCTAAGAAAAAAATTGTGAGAATGTCAAAAACAGATTTTTATATCTAAAATACCACAACTTATTTATACAGCAAAGTGGCAACGTTTTTTAAAAACCACTTCTATTTAAGCAGTAATTTTAAAAAGGAATTCCTAAGTTACATATTGGTTACCTATAAATACAATGAACACACTATAAAATCACAAGAAAATCTGTATTTCTTCACCTGGTAGCTGTTTAAATGAGCCAGTTATAAAATGTGCATTCCTGAATTCCTTAATTTAGAAAAAGTTCCTTTACTAAGTCAAAAGTTTAATTCATGTTAAACAATTAATAGTTTACAACAAAAACCATTTAACCATAAAATTCTAAAATCATTGTTAATAATGATAACAATAATAATTACTGTAATGGTTTTTTCTCTTAGCCATTCAGGATCTTTTTCATCTTCACTATCTACTTCCATTTCTTGTGGACGGAGAGGTAAACAAGTATCACTATGGAAATACAGACGATTGTGTCCACTACTGTATGTTCGTTGCTGTTCTACTTCTCCATCTTCAGATTCAAGAAATTCAGACATGCTTGCTTTTGTTCGTTTTGGCCTAATGAAAAGAGATGTTGATGTAATATCAAATGATGGGGTTAGGGTTCTTTATATTTCACATCACCCAAATAGATTACATATCTTTTTTAGGGGTTTTGTACCTAGATCTACTAGGAGAATTATTTAATCCCCACAACCACCTCAGCAATAGTGACATTATCATTTAAAACAGGAAAAAGGAGCCAGGGAGGTCTATAAAGAAGTATTCCACTCAGAGAATTAGCTAATGCCCCTTCTGTTCTTCCACCATCATCAATAAAATCCAGAGGATAAACCTGCTGTTGTGTGACCTTTCTACCTACCTGCACACAAGAATGTGTGTGATAGGCGTTCTCTTTACAGGTCCATTGCGACTAAAAGCAAATCCAGGTTGGCGATGAATATCCTGAGGATTTCCTGCATAGGAGCCATCATAACATTCGTTGATAGAAACATCTATCCTAGCACCTTTTGGATGATACTGTAACAAAAATGGCAAGGATTTTAGGAAAAGAAAATATTATTCTACTCTAAATATCTATCACTCCAATTTAATTAATTTAAAAATTGTTATGGTTTTTAATGTCTTTTAAGCATAAATTAGCCAGGCATATTAGCATGGTGAACAGGAAATCAGAGAATCTAGAACAAAAAAGATCTATGTCACCTGGCTAATGTGGCTCAGTTGTTGAGCGTTAACCTATGAACCAGGATGTTACAGTTCTATGTTCGATAAAGGCTGCAGGCTCAATCCCCAGGAGGGGTGTGCCAATCAATGATTCTCCCCATCATTGATATTTTTATCTCTCTCCTCCTCCCTGAAAGCAAAAAAAAAAAAAAAAAAAAAAAAAAAATTTGTATTAAGCCCTGGCTTGTGTCTATAGTAGTTAAAGCATTGGCCCTCGCAGTAAAGGGTAGCAGGTTAGATTCCCGGTCAAGGACACATACCTGGGTTGAAGATTTAATCCCCAGCCTACGTTGGGGAATTGAAAGGGGGCAACCAATACATGTGTTTTACACAATGCTGTTTCTCTCTACCTTCCCCCTCCCACTCTCTAAAAATCAATGGAAAAAATGTTCTTGGGTGAGGATTAGCAACAAAAAGATCTATGTTAAAATTCTGGCTATGCCATTTATTGGCTTTATAACTTTTTATAAATTATTTCTCATCTGAACAAGAAGAAATCACCACTTAATTCAAAAAGTTGGTGTGAGGATTATATGCGTCAATATAGGTGCATTATATGTAAACTGAGTTATTCACTGTAATTCATTCATTTAGCAATCTACCCAGATGCAGAAATTTTGGCATTTTGTACCAAGTACAATTTTTGAAAGTCAAATTGTCTTATAATATATATATATAATTAGTAAGAAAAAAAAGTTACATACAACATAATTGAAGATAAACCTGCTGTGGCAGAGTTTAAGATGCTTGAGTAAACTGTAAAGTTTTCGGCAGTTCAGAGTGCACCAAGGGCAATGTAGGTCATCTCTTGCTTCAGTCTGTTGTCTTGTATTGTTGTTATAAAGGAACTTTAAAATAAAACAAAAAGGGAAAATTCCAACTTACACATCTCAAAACTTTTTTTCAATATTTCCTTTAAAAATAGTTAAAACAAATTAAAAGAAAAATCAGGGATAGTACTTTTATTTAAATATCCAAAATATTTCATATGTAACATGCAAAATAAAGGCATTTCATAATTACTTATATAACTGGTTAAGCTATGTTTACCTGATAAAATATTCTTAATTTTTGTCGATTTTCATTTGAAGTATCTTTTTCTTTCCTTGTTTGTAGATCTGTAGTCAATGATTCTTTAACAGCTGAAAATACATACTTGTATATTTAATGCAAATATTTGCTTCTAAGTGAAATAATATATCTTGTGAAAATAATTAAACATTAAATGTTTCACAGAATTCTACTTGTGGTATTTAGCACAGTTTTTATTCTCATCCTCAAGGAACAATCCCACTTAATACTCCTAATCATATATTTAGGTCTTTATTGGCAAGAGCCATACTTTTCAATTAAAAACCACCTCTTATGTACTATTATAATTATAAAAGTAACTCCTAGTAATTATATATAGTCACTGTAATGTTTTTTTGTTTTTGTTTTTTATTGATGTTTTATAGAAAGGAAAGGAAAGGATAGAGTTAGAAGCATCGATGAGAGAAAACCATCAATCAGCTGCCTCCTACACACTCCTCCTACTGGGGATGTGCCCGCAACCTAGGAACATGCCCTTGACTGGAATCGAACCCAGGATCTTTCAGTCCGCAGGCTGATGCTCTATCCACTGAGCCAAACCGGTTTTGGCATCACTGTAATGTTTTAAGCACTTTGAAGTCAGAGTGTCGTTTTGGTATTTATATTCCCAGGGAAAGTAGTCAGCAGTATCCATTAAGTTTTGCTTTAAGCCAAAACCGGTTTGGCTCAGTGGTAGAGCGTTGGTCTGCGGACTGAAAGGTCCCGGGTTCGATTCTGGTCAAGGGCATGTACCTTGGTTGCGGGCACATCCCCGGTGGGGGGTGTGCAAGAGGCAGCTGGTCGATGTTTCTCTCTCATCGACGTTTCTAGCCCTCTATCTCTCTCCCTTCCTCTCTGTAAAATGTCAATAAAATATATTTAAAAAAAAAAAAAGTTTTGCTTTAACATAAATTAAGTAAAAAATGATTGTATATTGCCTGGCCAGTGTGGCTTAGCACATTGAGTATCATCCCATGCACGAAAGGGTCACCAGTTTGATTTCTAGTCTGGGCACATGCCCGGGGAACAGGCTTGATCCTCAGTAGAGGGCATGCAGGAAACAACTGATTGATATTTCTCTCCCCTGCCACCCAATTCTTCCCCCTGAAAAATCATAAAAACATGTATCTTAAAAAACGACTGTATTAAGCCTTAGCCAGTTTGGCTCAGTGGATAGATCATTGGCCTGTGGACTGAAGGGTCCCGGGTTTGATTCCGGTTGACGGCACATGCCTGGGTTGTGGGATTGACCCAGCAGGGGGCATGCAGAAGGCAGCTTGATCAATGACTCTCATAATTGATGTATCTATCTATCTATCTATCTATCTCCCACTCTGAAATCAATATATTAAAAAAATAAAAAATGATTATATTAGTATTCCAAATCCAAAAATAATTACCATTAATAATTTTGGATATTTACTTACATACTTAAAATTTTTTTCCTTTTAATATATTTTATTGATTTTTTTTTTTACAGAGGGAGAGAATTAGAAACATTGATGAGGAGGAGTCAGCCATCAGCTGCCTCTTGCACGCCCCCTACAGGGGATGTGCCTGCAACCAAGGTACATGCCCTTGACCGGAATAGAACCTGGGGCCCTTCAGTCTGCAGGCTGATGCTCTATCCACTGAACCAAACCGGTTTCGGCTACTTAAAATGTTTTACTTTCCATGATATAACTAAGTATTTTATAGATACAATTTTGTATAAATTTTTTTTCCTCGGTTTTTTTTTTTTTTTTTTTTTTTTTTTTAACTCTTTTACCTATCTGACTAGCTGGCCACAAAGTATTCTGAGAAGTGACCAGACCACAATTTAGTGGCATATATACCATATCATGCTTCTAAAATAAAATAAAAAATCAGTCCAGACACATCGTAAACGAAGATTTTGGATAAAGGACTGTTAATATGTGCTTTAACACAAAACTTTACATTTAATATAGGAGAACCCTAATTTACCATGGCTCATAGTTTGTCTAATAAGTCAAATATTTCCCAAAGAATAACTTTTAGAGCAAATGACCAAAAATCAATCTAAAACCTAAGCCCTAACTGCAAAACATTATTTTGACAGCAATGTCTTCTTACCAATAGTTTGAGTAGGTTTAACTGAACCAGGCTTGTTTTCTTGATGGAGACTCTCTGAATTTCTAGTGGCAAGAGGCTTGGCAATAGGAGCTGTAGATTTATCATTGGTCTCTCCTGTCCAACGAAGAGTGAACTGTAACGTAGGTCCCTGAGAAAATGTTTCAAATGGAGGCAGCCTCTAAAAAGAAAAACATTAAAAGAGTATAGGAAGATTCCATATAACAAATTGAAAGAAATTATAGAAACTTAAGAAATATTTATTATAAGCTAATGTGGATTTGATTTAAACCAACAAACTTTTTTTTGAAAACCTAAAATGCCTACATCAATGGCCAGCTAAGTCAAGTAAATGTACAGCACAGTAGAGACTAAAGTACTGGAGCATTCAAGTTGTCTAAAAAAGACAGCCACTTATGAGCAGTAGCTGAATTACTGCCAGACACAAACACTGGCCCAGCACAGCCACATTTCAGATTTTTCAAAAGAAGTCAGAAATCCAAGTTCTAATAGAGAATGTTGCCATTTTTATATTGGTAACCAATTTATAATGTTTTTTTCTGGACCAATAGAAAAGTTTAATAAAAATTCAATGTAGCCAGGACCGATTTGGCTCAGTGGTAGAGCGTCAGCCTGCGGACTGAAAGGTCCCAGGTTCGATTCCAATCAAGGGCATGTGCCTTGGTTGCGGGCACATCCCCAGTAGGAGGTGTGCAGGAGGCAGCTGGTCGATGTTTCTCTCTCATCCTTGTTTCTAACTCTCTGTCCCTCTCAATTCCTCTCTATGTAAAATCAATAAAATTATATTTAAAAACAAAACAAAAAAAGTTCAATGTAAAAATGAATAGGACTCGATTTTTATATTGTAGTAAAACGGATGCTGTGGAGAAGGGACATGTGGAAGCAGTTGATTTCTTTGGTGACTATAGCCATTCTTTATACTCTTCTAAGACTTATGATACTTTTTTCTCGTATTACCACTATTCCAATATTGTTCTATTGCCCACCAGTTGCCATCTCTACACATTCATCTATCACAAGATTAATAAAGGGATCAAATCCCTGCAATATTCCTTGGACATGTCAACCTCCATTTAATTTCAATAACTTCTTGTACATAAAATTTTTAATTCAAGAGGGTGAGCTTTGTTCATGGTGTCTAAGCAAGCTCAAATATACCACCTTAGAATATTTTTTAAAAAACAAGTAAACTGTAGTACCTAAAACCTGCCAATTTTTTGACACAGTTTGATGACTACTTTCTTGGCTTTCCTCCTCCACCTCTAATCACTTTATAAAACTTACTATCTTCTCTTGGTTTTCTTTTTTTTTTTTTAATCAATCTTTATTGTTCATATTATTACAAAGGTTCCTCATTTCTTCCCCCCTCCACCAGGTTCCCACCCCACCCTCCGTCCCCCCCCCACCCCCCATTGTCCTCATCCATAGGTGCAGTTTATGTTCAGTCTCTTCTTCCCTCAATTTCCCCAATAGTAAATCCCTTTTCAGATAGTAAATCAGTTATTTAGCATTTTCTCATATCAATAATACCTCCACATGCCCAATGATACACTTCACACAAAAGACATTTCCCTCTAGGTCAACCAGCCTCATCCAGGCCCCACCCAAGGCACTCACAGATCAACACCCCAGTCCTAAAATAACTCAACACATCCAGATCTAAGCCTTCATCACTTGATTCAGCAGACCCTCAAGTTCCCACGAAAGTTTCCAGCCATGTCTGAGAAGCAGCCGTGGGGCAGGGGCAGGCAAGGAGCGAGCTGTTCTGGGCCTGGCTGCTCAGGGCCTGGCCTCTGTTGCTCTGGTTCATTCCACAACCAGCTGCTCCGGGTCTGGTCACTGCCGCTCCCGACCTAGTTGCTCTGGACTTGGCTGCTGCTGCTCCGGGCCTGGCCGCTCCCAGCCTGGCAGCCGCTGCTCCGGGCCTGGCCGCACCCGACCCGGCTGCTCCCCCGGGCCTGGCCGCTCCCAGCCTGGCAGCCGCTGCTCCGGGCCTGGCCGCACCAGCCCCGCCTGCTCCCCCGGGCCTGGCCGCTCCCAGCCTGGCAGCCGCTGCTCCGGGCCTGGCCGCACCCGACCCGCCTGCTCCCCCGGGCCTGGCCGCTCCCAGCCTGGCAGCCGCTGCTCCGGGCCTGGCCGCACCAGCCCCGCCTGCTCCCCCGGGCCTGGCCGCTCCCAGCCTGGCAGCCGCTGCTCCGGGCCTGGCCGCACCCGACCCGCCTGCTCCCCCGGGCCTGGCCGCTCCCAGCCTGGCAGCCGCTGCTCCGGGCCTGGCCGCACCAGCCCCGCCTGCTCCCCCGGGCCTGGCCGCTCCCAGCCTGGCAGCCGCTGCTCCGGGCCTGGCCGCACCCGACCCGCCTGCTCCCCGGGGCCTGGCCGCTCCCAGCCTGGCAGCCGCTGCTCCGGGCCTGGCCGCACCAGCCCCGCCTGCTCCCCCGGGCCTGGCCGCTCCCAGCCTGGCAGCCGCTGCTCTGGGCCTGGCCGCACCAGCCCCGCCTGCTCCCCCGGGCCTGGCCCTCTTGGTTTTCTTAGTTCCTAGTAACATTTAGCCATTTGCCTCTCTACCTCTCACCCATTTTGTAAGATTTAACTATTATTAGGCCAATTATTCCAAATTGGTTCTCCATTGTTTATTTCACTGAATACAAGCCTTAACTCCTTATACATTTTTATTACAAATAATTATCATAAAGCCATAATTTTAGACTAGAATGAAGTAAAAATGTGGTCAGATAAACTGGTTTTGACCTACTAAGTCCATATCTAGGAATTTATCTTATAAACATAGTAGAGGCATGCACTTGGGGACTGGGATGGAGACAGGCGGGGGAGTTGTTCCCAGTCTGGCCTGCACTCTCAAATCTCCCCACTCTGAATTTATCTTGGGGAATGTCTAATTGCCTCAGAGGTGGCAGAGACTCCCACTACTGCCACTGAGCTCGCTATGAGCCTGGCTTCTGGCTGAGCCTCGCTCCCACTGACCACCAGGGGGCAGCTCCTGTGTTGAGCGACCAGTAGTTTTGCTGGTCCGTCAATTTGCATATTAGCCTATTATTATAAGATTTGCAAAGCTCACCCTCTTGAATTAAAAATTTTATGTACAAGAAGTTATTGAAATTAAATGGAGGTTGACATGTCCAAGGAATATTACAGGGATTTGATCCCTTTATTAATCTTGTGATAGATGAATGTGTAGAGATGGCAACTGGTGGGCAATAGAACAATATTGGAATAGTGGTAATACGAGAAAAAAGTATCATAAGTCTTAGAAGAGTATAAAGAATGGCTATAGTCACCAAAGAAATCAACTGCTTCCACATGTCCCTTCTCCACAAAAAGATACATGTACAAATATATCCACTACATTTTTTTAAAACAAAAAAATTTACATGAATTATAATAACCAAATTATATATTAAAATGGCATTGGTATAATAAATTATGGAACAAAATACCACACAGAGCTTTTAAAAAAAAAAAAACAAATCCATATGATCTGACTCAAAAGGATGCCATTTCATATTGCCTCAAACAATTTCTTGGAAAAAACTAACAATTCATATAAAGACAATTTTATTTTCTTATGGATAAACCTAACATACTTTTAACATTTTTATCCATATTGACCATCTGCCCTCCAGTAAGTTTTACCAATTTATTCTTAAAGCATTATTTGAGAATATGTGTCCTCAGATATCCAATTATAAACTATCAATCTTTAAAACTGTGGTCCTACAAGAAGTCAAAAGTAACTATCTCTAATTCTGTTTGCATGTTTTTACATACTAGTAAGAATGAAATTGCTGGCCATCTATATTTGTTGCTTAAAGAACTGCTTAAGGCCGAAACCGGTTTGGTTCAGCGGTAGAGCGTTGGTCTGCAGACTAAAAGGTCCCGGGTTCGATTCCGGTCAAGGGCATGTACATTGGTTGCAGGCACATCCTTGGTAGTGGGTGTGCAAACGTCTCATCGACGTTTCTAGCTCTCTATCTCTTTCCCTTCCTCTCTGTAAAAAATCAATAAAATATATTTTTTTAAAAAAGTACTGCTTAATCTTGGCTGGTGTGGATCAGTGGTTGAGTATCGACCCATGCACCAAGAGATCACGGGTTCGATTCCTGTTCAGAGCACATGGCACGGTTGGGAGCTCAATCCTGTTAGGGAGCATGCAGGAAGCAGCCAATTGATGTTGATGTTTTTCTCCTTGATATTTCGATCTCCCTCTCTCTGCCTCTCTCTCTAAAATAAACAAACATATCTTTTAAAATAATCAAAACTGCCGAAACCGGTTTGGCTCAGTGGTAGAGCGTCGGTCTGCGGACTGAGGGGTCCCGGGTTCGATTCCGGTCGAGGGCATGTGCCTTGGTTGCGGGCACATCCCCAGTGGGGGGTGTGCCAAGAGGTAGCTGGTCGATGTTTCTCTCGACGTTTCTAGCTCTCTATCTCTCTCTCTTCCTCTCTGTAAGAAATCAATAAAATATATTTTTTTAAAAAGAAGAAAAAAAAGTAATCAAAACTGACTATCCTTTACCCATTCTCCTAATTTGATTGCTTAGCTTTTCTTATTGAGTTATAATCCTATGTATTCATAATAGTAGCCTTTTATATATTGCAAATATTTCCAATTCATGTTTTTAAATTTAGTTATTTGCATGTAGAAATAACCCACTTTAGTAATTCTTTAAGCTGCTTACCTTTTGCGTCACACTTAGAAGAGCTTTCCTCAGAACAATATTATACGAATATTCATCTACATTTTTTTTGTTGTGTATTGTTTATTTCTACATTTATATTTATGAGCCTTCTGGAATTTCTTAGGTCTAAGTTTATTTCTAGATGGCTAGAGACCAATTCTGTGACAATGAATGAACAGTCTTTCCCTCAGAGATGTACCACCAATTTTATCATGACTAAATTTCAAATATATATGAAAACCATTTCAGAAATATGCTTCACTGATCTGCTTACACCATATTATTTATGTTCTATTAACTTTATAGTATGCACTACCCCCTGGTAAGTAAATGTTCTCTGAAAACTTTTCCATAATTTTCCTTAAGTTTTATTACAGGTTATTCTAGGATTATTTAAGACTAATTTTAAGGCTTAAAAAAATCTTTTATAGGATTTTGCTTGTGATGTTATACTGACCTTATATTTAGAAATAAGTAACATTTTGTTGAGCCTGCCTATTCAAGAAATGTATGGATGCTTATTTATTAAGTCTCTTAGAAGAGTTATGTTACGTATACTTCATATGGTCCAGCAGATTTCTTAATAATTTATTAATAGTCATCAAGTTACCTGTTATTACTATGAAAGGGATTTAAAATAGCAGTTAACATTTATTGAGCACTTATTTTATGCCAGGCACAGTGCTAAACATACTTCATTAATTGTTTCAGTTAATCCATCAACTCTGTGCCTCATTCTATATATGAGAAAACCAAGACACGTAGCTTATGTAACTTGCTGGATGCTACATAGCAAGGAGTGAATATTTGAACTTGGTCTGGCTCCAAGGAGGATTCCTCCCATTAAATACTCTAAGTAAATTTTATTTGTGTTTTCCAAAGTACAAAAACAAAGGACTCTCCTTTCAACATAAATTTTCATTTGAGGGAGAAAAACACCAATAAAAAATGGGAGTTCATAACTATAACATGCCTTCTAAGAAATCCATACCTTCCCATCAAGAATAGTCTCCCATGTTGCTCTTTTCTTGCTTATTGGACATTCTTCCATTTCCTGCATGGCTACTTCATACTCCCCATCTAAAAGCTGTAAGCGCCTGTTAGACAAACACATACACTTTAAAGTAACTTGTTATTATTTTAAGTACATAAATTCTACATATTTAGATTTATAAAGCATTTATTAAATGTATAAACTAGCTTATATGTCTATACTCCATTCTTTTCTCTTTTTTTTTCCAATATATTTTATTGATTTTTTTAGAGAGGAAGGGAGATAGATACAGAGTAGAGAGTTAGAAACATCAACGAGTCATTGATCAGCTGCCTCTTGCACACCCCCTACTGGGGATGTGCCTGCAACCAAGGTACATGCCCTTGACCGGAATCGAACCCGGGACCTTTCAGTCTGCAGGCCGACACTCTATCCACTGAGCCAAACCAGTTTCGGCTATACTCCATTCTTGACACAAGCAATTTTAATGGGTTCCATTATTAACTACTATTATTATAGAATTATTTTATTAATGCAGCTACTCAGATATAACTTTAAACATTTAAAATGTAATATACCTATGGCCTCGAAACTTTATACTTAAGTATAAAGTATGTGTGCAGGCTTTACTTGTAAAAATGGGATGGTGTTACAATTCTTGCCTTAGGGGACTACTAAGAATTATGCTTCTGTTATTTTTAACGATTATAAATATTTGAATTGGAGATCTTGACTTTTATACTTGACCAATAATAAAATTTATAATTACAATAACAACTCCAATAACTATAAGATCCTGGGGTCACCTGGCACATATAGGTGCTCAATAAACATTTCATGGGTAAATGAATAAATGAAATACCAGCTGAATCAAAAATTTAATTATACCCATAGTATAGTGTTGTTTTTTAAAATATACTTTGATTTTTTACAGAGAGGAAGGGAGAGAGATAGCTAGAAACGTCGATGAGAAAGAAACATTGACCAACTGTTTCCTGCACACCCCCCACCGGGGATGTGCCCGCAACCAACGTACATGCCCTTGACCAGAATCGAACCTGGGACCCTTCAGTCCGCAGACCGACACTCTACCACTGAGCCTAACTGGTTTTGGCCCATAGTATAGTTTTAATGTGTATGTGTGTATGTGTGTGTGTGTGTGTATATATAATTTATATTTTGAACACTGGTAACATTAAATAGCATTTTTTAAAAAATATATTTTATTGATTTCTTTTACAGAGAGGAAGAGAGAGGGATAGAGAATTAGAAACATCGATGAGAGAGAATCATCGATCAGCTGCCTCTTGCACACCCCCTACTGGGGATGTGCCCGCAACCAAGGTACATGCCTTTGACTGGAATCAAACCTGGGACCTTTCAGTCTGCAGGCCGATGCTCTATCCATTGAGCCAAACTGGTTTCGGCTTAAATAGCATTTTTTAATTATGCTCAACAATTAATTGTATATAGTAAGAAGAACCTGGCTTCTCTTCATCAGTCTTAAAAAAAAATCTGTTAAGTGATAACAGTTAACACTTATCAAGTGCTTACAATGTGTCAGGCACTATTTTAAAGACTTTACATAGTTCACTTAATCTTCCCAACAGCTCTATGAAGATGCTATTACTCGCCCTACTCAGTGGATAGAATGTCAGCCTGCAGACTGTAGGGTCCCAGATTCTATTCCAGTCAAGGGCATGTACCTTGGTTGCAGGCACATCCCTAGTGGGGAGTATGCAGGAGGCAGCTATCAATGTTCATCTCATCGATGTTTCTCTCTATCCCTCTCCCTTCCTCTCTGTAAAAATCAATAAAATTAAAAATTAAAAATAAAAAGATGCTAATTCTCCATTTTTCAGAAGAAAAAATGAAGAGAGATTAAGTAACTTGCCTTAAGATGACATACTAAGTAGCCAGAACTAGCAATTAAATCTAGATAGTCTGTCTCCAAAGACTGACTCTTAACACAAATGACTTTGAGACCTAAGAATTTTTGTCTTGCGGAAACCGGTTTGGCTCAGTGGTAGAGCGTCGGTCTGCGGACTGAAAGGTCCCAGGTTTGATTCCAGTCAAAGGCATGTACCTTGGCTGGGGGCACATCCCCAGTGGGGGGTGTGCAAGAGGCAGCTGGTCGATGTTTTTCTCTCATCAATGTTTCTCTCTATCCCTCTCTCTTCCGCTCTGTAAAAACTCAATAAAATATTAAAAGAAAGAAATCGACCACAAAAGTGCAAATTGAGAAATGCTTCAAAACTACAGGCCTAGACTTTTAAAAAGTGTCCCAAAAGGCAAAACAAACAAACAAAACTGGAGAATTATTCCAATTCAAAGGTATCTGAACAGATGGCAACTGGCAACTACAGATCACAGTCCTCAATTAAGGGTAAAAGGTAAAGAGCTTTAAATGACATTATTTGGGTTAATTGGGGAGACAGTATTATGTTAAATTTCCTTAATATGATCAGTATACTGTGACTGTGGAGGGAAATGTTCTTGTTCTTAGGAGACACATCCTAAAGTATTTAAAAATGAAGTTGAGTATCACAAACTTTCAAATCGTTCATAAAAAACAAAGTATATTCACAAAGAAAGCAAATGTGGTAAAATGCTAAAAACTGATGAATTTAGATAAAGGGTCTATGGGCATTAATTACCTGTATTGTTCTCACAACTTTTTTGTAGATTTGGGAATTTTCAAAAAAAGTTGAGAGGAAATTTTCCCATGGTATTTTCATAGTTTTTATCATTAAATAAAAGGCAGTATTACACATGTATAAAAAATGTTAGTATATGTTAAGAATTTTAAAAAGAATTCAAGATACCTTCCCACCCTGCCTAAAATAGTACATTTACCAACATTAATGAAGCTGTGTGTGCCATATTCTCATTGCTTCTCCCATAGACATAATCACTATCTCCTAGTATATAATTCTGTATTTTCCATTTAAATCTTTGATCCACATTAAAATTTCAAACTTTAAAAAGACACTATATTTGTTCTGCCAATAGCAATACTGTGATATTAAGTGATATATTCTAAGACAATATGGTACACAAATTTTGTGGTATTATTCCTAATCATCTTTGCTTTCCTATTAAAAAACTTTTACCGCCGAAACCAGTTTGGCTCAGTGGTAGAGCGCCGGTCTGCGGACTGAAAGGTCCCAGGTTCAAATCGGTCAAGGGCATGTACATTGGTTGCGGGCACATCCCCAGTAGGGGGTGTGCAAGAGGCAGCTGGTCGATGTTTCTCTCTCATTGACATTTCTAGCTCTCTCTCTCTTCCTCTCTGTAAAAACTCAATTAAAAAAAAAAATTCCATAGATTTCTTTACGTTAATTAAAAAAAAAAAATAAAATAAAAAACTTTTACCTTTCTTTACATGGTGACTAATAAGTGATAGTATTAAAAGAATCTACTACTTTTTATAAAATATAAGGAATGTACTAGTTGCTCTATATCTAATACCTGACAGTGAACTACCAGTGAGCAGCCTGGAACCAGAAATATGTCATGTTATAGGTTTCACCTCCAATCCTGTAAAAAATGAAAGCTGCATTTGCCTCCTAGATCATTTTTACTGGCAATTAGATGCTTTATTCCCAAATGAAAACTGTTGGGATAATTATAAATCCAAGTGTTCTTTGCTACTCTATGCCAAATGTACATAGAGCCATACAATGATTACACACAATTTTCTTCCTTAATTTTAGTAAATATATAACCTCAAAATTTGCACCAGATTCACTGCATTCAGGTCTCTGCTCATATATTACCTTCTCTGAGGCTTTCTCTGTAAAACAGCCATTTATTCTCGTTATTTTTTTTTTTTATATATATAGCACTCACCACAGAGTAGACACTCAAAAAAGACAATTGCCAAATAATCTTAACTGAGCCATTCAAGTAGTTCCTCATCTGTGTTTATTATTTTCTATGTGATCAAGAGAAAATACTTGTTTTTTTTCCGTGATTTTTCTCCCCCCAGTCATAATAAAGAGAGACAAAAGCAAAGAAATAATATCACTACTACATTCTACTTTGGAATAAAAGGATGTCCAGAACATTATGGGAGCCTCATTTGTCCATCACCGTTACCTGTTTTTATCAAATACTGTCATTTGTGCCACAAATGTCTTTTCCCCATCTTCACGATTTCGTTTTCTTCTAGCTGGAAGTTCTTCATTAACATCTGAATTTGAAAAACATTTCTCATGAATAAAGTATTAAAGCACAAATGTACTATTTATGATATACAACCCAACATATTTATCCCAAATGAGGTACAAATTACACTAAGTTGCAATATACTAGGCAGACTTACACTCGTCTATTTTGTTTTTATGGTATGTATGAATGTTCTACTTAATGGCATTCATTGGCAATAACCCCACCTCTATTGAGAATGATCTTGATCTTGCTAGGCAAGAAGGAAGAAAAAAATCCTCCTCATTCATGGTTCTTTTGAAGAACTTCAGAGGGTACTTAAAGACTCAGAGAAGCCCAGCTGGTGTGACTCAGTGTTTTGAGTGTCAACCTTGAGCCAGGAGATCACAGTTCAATTCCCAGTCAGGGCATATGCCTGGGTTGCAGGCAAATTTGAAATTCCAATCTTTTCCACGCACAATAGCAAATAGTCCAAGAGCCTGGACAATCTACCATAAAATTATATCATTAGACTACCAGAGATTTGCAAATAAAAGCCATGCTACTAAAAAAACATGAATTCAGTTCTAGTTCTGCATTATTTTGTTTCTGTGGAATGGCAGTTTTAAAAAATTATTACAATAACTCAAAAAGAAATAGTACCAAGTTATGAATATTTTTAAGATATACTGGTTTAATAATTTTCATTAACCATTGTAATCTCCTATCACAAAATCTAGTTATATCATTAAAATAAAATTACCAATATTTTCATTGGTTTCTCCATTCATCATTCCATTAAACTCTCTTCTTCCTGGACGAGTCACTCTAAATAGCAATGAGTAAGACTTCACCATATGGCTGTTACTAGGTTCAAATTCATTACTGGAAACTGCAAGGGATGGGAAATTTCCAGGTTTTGTTTGATTGAGGTCAGGATTCAAAGGCACCTGCTTTTTACCTGTAGGAACTTGCCTTATTGGACAACTTACATCCTGCAAAAGTAAAGATTATTAAATTATATTTATTTATATGTATGCAATTATTAGAATTACAATAAACTTGTAATCACAGCTATACAAAACATGCTGTATGCCAAAATTCCCAAATGACATTCTAAAATTCTAACCACAGTTGTGAAAATTGTGAAGCAAAAAGAAAATTTGGAACAAGTATATTCCAAATATTAACACAAATGTGGATTTCTCCAATATACTGAAAATAATGATAAAGTATGTCCAATATTTAGCTGATAATCGAAGTTTTAAATTAGAAATATGAAATAAAAATCATGCTTAAACATTAAACTTGCTAATCTTTCCCCCTTAAATTTTACATTTTAACAAAAAAATAGATGAGACAATTAGAAATAAAAAGAGAGAATTATAACCTTACTGTCAACATTATGACATAAATAAATTCATTTAAATATGTTGTTTAACAGAGGCAATATTCATCATTTTATGAGTAACGTTCTGCAATTATATAACTAAAATTATGCTGAAAAAGCATAGGTGAAAAATTAAAAGACGCATAAGATTTTTATAACAAAATATAGTACATTATTTCATTGTAGCCTTTTTTTTTTAAACACATGTCGGATTTATTTTTTTAAATATATTTTATTGATTTTTTACAGAGAGGAAGAGAGAGGGATAGAGTTAGAAACATCGATGAGAGAGACATCGATCAGCTGCCTCTTGCACACCCCCTACTGGGGATGTGCCTACAGCCCTTGACTGGAGTTGAACCCTGGACCCTTCAGTCCGCAGGCCGACGCTCTATCCACTGAGCCAAACCGGTTTCGGCTGTAGCTTCTTTTTTAAATAAATACATGTTTTTGGTAAAAAACAAAAGTCTAATCCACAAGAGTATAAAATGAAAAATGTTTTCCCTACCCCCCAGATCTTATACTCCAGAGATGACTAATATTAGTATATCTCACTTTCCAAGAAAATAGTTATGCCTATTATTTTTTGAAATATAAAAAAAACATTATAGGTATATTCACATATTTTTGCCAAAAATAAAAAATATATATTAAAAAATTTTCACATCACTACATGTCATATGTGCATGGGAGTTGAAAGCATGGAAAGTGATATTTCTTAACTGCAAAGTTTTTTTTATTTTTTATTTTATTGATTTTTAACAGAGAGGAAGGGAGATTAACTGCAAAGTTTTTAATAAATATATACTCTGCCATCTCCTCTCACCTTAGTCTATCCATACCAATGCTCTGGCACACTGGGAGGCAAACTCATTAGTCAACAGAGCCAAATATCAACAGTACAACTATTGAAATTTCTTTTGAGAGCCAAATTTTAACAACTTCTAACACCACTTCTTCAAAATAGACTCACCCAGGCCATGGTATTTTTGTGGAAGAGCCACACTCAAGGGGCCAAAGAGCCGTATGTGGCTCGCGAGCTGCGGTTTGCTGACAACTGTTCTAGCAGTTTTCAAGTCCTGTATCACCTTACTACGATTTTGGAAGAATATCATCAATAGGAACTTCATAAAACCCAAGGACTATATCTGTTGGCTTTGGTGGGTTGTCCAGGAAATTTAACCATTACAACTCTTGTTTTTATGACAATAATTTCATCTTATAATAAAAACTTGAAGCAATGTATTATCAAGTTAAGGGCTGATAACGCTGGCAATATAATTTCTTAGCCTGACAGGAATATTTTTGAAAAAATAATCCTTTTGGAAAAACTCTCTCTTAGCCCATATTTAAAATTTCAATGGGGCCGAAACCGATCTGGCTCAGTGGATAGAGCATTGGCCTGCGGACTCAAGGGTCCTGGGTTCGATTCCGGTCAAGGGCATGTACTCTGGTTGCGGGCTCATCCCCAGTAGAGAGTGTGCAAGAGGCGGCTGATCGATGTTTCTGACTTTCTATCCCTCTCCCTTCCTCTCTGTAAAAAAATCAATAAAAAATATATTTTATTAAAATTTCAATGGGTATAAGAATAGACTTAAGTAATAGGGAAGTAACTGAATTTATATCTTAAAATATAAAAAGATAGCTCTTCCCTTCACTGTCAGATTCCTACAGGAGAAAGTTTTTGCATATATACCTACAGCCAGACTAAGAAAACACACAGATCTGGGAGGTTGGCAAAGAGGTTATCAGTGTTACAATTCAAGCACCCACATATTTAAAAATTTTTATGGTTTAAATACAAAGTATATACAAATGAATATACTCAAATTCTAAAATTATTTTACTTAATCTACCAATTTACTTATGTTACCTTTCTTTTTTTGTGGCAAACTTTCACAAGCAGGACTTCCAGAGTAACAGAATTTTGTTCATTTTCTGAGTTTTGTGATGGCTTATCTAAATAGAAAAATCAATACCTCATGTATTTTTTAAAAATATATACAGTACTCATTTTCCTAGAAAGTCTAGAAATTTCTAATATAAGACTTCTCAGAATTTTATTCATTCTTTTCCTTTTGTTAATTCTCAATCAATGATACCTTTTCCATTGATCTTTACTGACAATGGAAGGGAAGGGAAGAGACAGAGAAAAGCATCTATGTGAGAGAGACGCATCAACTGATTGCCTCTACACGTGTCTCAACTGGGGCTAATGATTGAGCCTACAATTGAAGTACATGCCCTTGACCAGAATTAAACCCAGGACCCCTTTAGTCTGTGGGCCGATGCTCTAACGACTGAGCAAACTAACTATGGCCAAAATCAGTTTCAAATGTGCAGCAAACTCTTAAAAAGCCTTTACAAATAGTCACTTAAATAAACCTTTCAAAAGACAATTGTAATTACCTTCTTATATACTCATTTTTCTTTTCTCCCTCCTAAATTGTTTTAATTATTGATTTTAAAGAGAGAGGAAAGGAGAGAAAGACAGAAAGAAACAACTGACCTGTTGATTCTACCTATTTATGTATTCATTGGGTGACCTGGGATTGAACCAAAACCTTGGCCTATCAGGATCATACACTATCGTTGTAGGCCCTGTGAGTTTTCTTTTCATTCAAATAATGGCTCTATTATTTTAATTAAAACTAAAAAGGCTTACCTATTACTTCTGCTATAAAGATTTAATTACAACAATAAAACAATATAATCAACTGCAATTGTAAAAAAAAAAAAAAAGACAAATATAGTTAAAGCTTCTTATCGGAAAGTACCAATAAAATAGTTCAAGAGGAAAAAACAATGAAATATTCAGGAAAGACAACCACACATAGAATAAACATTTAATTTTTTTTTCCCTTCTTCCAACAGTTATCATTAAAAAATTTAGTTTAGCCAAAACCGGTTTAGCTCAACGGATAGAGCGTCGGCTTGGGGACTGAAGGGACCCGGGTTCGGTTCCGGTCAAGGGCATGTACCTTGGTTGCGGGCATATCCCCAGTGGGGGGTGTGCAGGAGGCAACTGATCGATGACTCTCTCTCATCGATGTGTCTAACTCTCTGTCTCTCTCTCTGTTCCTCTCTGTACAAAATCAATAAAATATATATATATAAAAAAATTTAGTTTAAAGACCAAAGAGATAAAAAAAAATGAATTTAAAAAGTTATATAAATATATTAGCACTTCAAAATAAAAATATCTATTTTTGACCTTTTCATCAGAATTTCTCTAAAGGAATCTCTTGGTTCACAAAGGTTTAAGTATTTTAATTTAAAAATATATTCTGTATTATCTATACCAATTAACTAACAAATTATTTTCCATAATTTGACTTTATTTTTATTTTTAAAAAGTTTTCATTGGCTTTTTTAGAGGGGGAGAGGGAGAAACAGAAATATCGACGAGAGAGAAACATCTATCAGCTGCCTCCTGCAGGCCCTTTACTGGGGGTTGAGCCCACAACCTGGGTATATGCACTGACTGGGAATTAATTGGTGACCTCTCCAATTAATTGGTTGATGCTCAACCACTGAGCCACACTGGGCCATAGGTTGTCTTTATTTTTTTATACTGTACAGCCCCCTTCAGTGCTCACAGCTCAAGGGTAAGGAGGCTAGGCAATGATTTGAGGCTGCAACTTCCTCTGGCATGGGTCCACTATGAGTGGATAGAGACATAGCTTGTCTTTAAAACCTAAAAGTATTAATAGGTCAAAATTTTAAATATTTATTCTTTCATCATCAAGTTTCAGTATTATGTGGAAGAATTATAATAAATGAATCTATAAACATACAGAAATAAAATAATTTTTGTCCTGAGATTCTGGACAACAATTTTTCTACTTAAAAAGTGTGCATAAAATGAATTTGAATCAGCCTATTTGAAAATTATATCCACGATGAAAATACTTTAATATAGCAAAAATAATCCAATAGCTAAAATGCAGTAACAAAACATTACTCTCTAAAATTACTTACTCCGAAAATAGCACCCTAATAATCTTTGTGTATTCATTCTAAGCAGTTTCAAATAGTAACTGCTAAACAAAAAGTCTTCATTTAAAAAACAAACAAAACAAAAAATCAGATTTTAGAGACCTGGATGTTGGTTTTCTATCCTGGTTTCTTAAAAATATTATTTCTGCCCTAACCAGTTTGGCTCAGTGGATAGAGCATCCGCCTGTGGACTGAAAGGTTCCAGATTCGATTCCAGTCAAGGGCATGTATATTGGTTGCGGGCACATCCCCAGGAAGAGGTGTGAGGAAGGCGGCTGATCAATGTTCCTTTCTCATTGATGTTTCTAACTCTCCCTTTCTGTAAAAAAATAAAATATATTTTAAAAAATTTATTTCTTCCCTGGTCAGCATGGCTCAATGGTTGAGCTCTGACCCAGGAACCAAGAGTTTACTGGTTCGATTCCCAGTCAGGGCACATACCCAGGTTGCTGGCTTGATCTCCAGTTTTTCTATTGATGTTTCTACCTCTCTCTATCCTTCTCCCTTCCTCTCTCTCTCAAAATCAATAAATACTTAAAAATATTACTTCTTAAAAAAACCCAAAAACTTGTAACACTTTGAATAGATGCAAGGCAATATATCTGCTTCTTCCCAAATTCCACTAATTTTATTATTATGGGAAATTATTTTCTGGAAACAGAAGTATCAATAGAGTTTACTTTCTCATTTACTTCAGTAGCATCAAGATAAAAGCTTTAAGTGAATTCAAGTAATTTTTGAACTTTATACATGTTGTCATGTAGACATAATAGTTTAATCAAACTACTTTTCAATTAATTTCAACTAATTCAACTAAAATTAGTTCAACTAATATTAACAAAATAATATTGATTAGTAAATATCATTCAATTACTATCAATTACTAACTTCAGTGATGGAGAACTTAAATATGTTTTACGTAAGTTCCTGGGAACAAAGGGTTCACAAACCTACAAAATTCAAATGATAAATTTCTAAAGTATTAGAGCCCATGTACTTTAAAAGTACCACAGAAAACCAAATAATGATTAGAAGTAAGGACTCTATAAGATTATAAATAGATTAGGGCAATGGTCAGCAAATGGCGGTTCGAGAGCCACATACCTCAATCAGATTGAGGGCATTTTTTTTTTTAGCAAAGGCCAGTTTAGGATTACCCTAATTAAGTTAATAACAATGTATCTACCTATATAGTTTAAGTTTAATAAAAGAAACTTAAAAGAAATTTAAGGCTCTCAAAAGAAATTTCAATTGTTGTTCTGTTGATATTTGGCTCTATTGACTAATGAGTTTGCCAACCACTGGGTTAGGGGGGGAAATCTCAAAAGTGCTATTCAAGTTACTCCTACCAAAAATGGACCAGATCTAAAGCAAAACTAGAAGGAAGTTATACCACCTGTCAAAAGAGATATGAACAGAGCTCATTAATTGTTATGTGAAAAAAGCTATCAAACTGTTCTAATATAATCATTTTGTTTATTAAACTATTTGGGGGGGTTTTAAGTAGGACTGCTCCCTTTTTTAAAAAATGTGTTTTGATTGATTTTGAGAGAGAGGAAGGGAGAGGGAGAAACATGAATGAGAGAGGAACATCACTGATTGGCTGCCTTCTGCATGGTCCCTACCAGGGAATAATCCTGCAACCCAGACATGTGCCCTGACTGGTGAACTGACAACCTCTTGGTGTATGGGATGACACTCAACTACTGAGTTACATTGCTGGGCTTGTACTTTATTAAAATGTAGACTCTTAAACTCCACCTTAATAGATCTGAGTCTTTGTAGGACCCACCTATATGGATTTTAAACGAAGTGCCAAGATATTTTCAGAATTCGGCACATCTCTAAAATTTGAGAATTGAGTTGCAAGTTACATCCTCCACATCCCATTATTCACCACATAAAGCAATAACTAAAAGCACTGAAGAGGTCAACTAACAAGAAGTATAACATTTATCAGACTCAACATCTTTTCCATTTTATAAATTTACACACATGAAGTAATTTTTTAATTCACAATTGTGTTTGTTGTTAAATGCCAATGTTTAAAGTACATACCATTTTTGTGGAAGAAACCAGTAAAGGTAAGCTGCAGATGAGCTGACAAGCTAAACAGAACAAACAAAACATTTATCACTTTAATGCTCTATAATAAAAATAGCCTAGACTTTAAAACAACATTAAAATCAAAACTACTTCAGGTAATTTATAAATATTTGATTTTCTTATTCTTAACTCTATTCAAACCCATGACCATGTTTTCCATTAAGTATGACATCTGAAATAGTGTCTACACATTAAAAAATAAACATCACACACAAAAATGAAAACATCAAAAGATTAAGCCAGATAAAATCAGACCACCAAATGAGAGGCAAGATGATTTACTGTGCTTTAGTGTTATTTCTTTAAAAATAGAAACAAGTTTCCCTACCTACCCCACAATTTTTTTTTAATAAGGGTTGTTGAATCCATGCAGTATCTGAATATTCCAAAGCTATGGAAATTCAACCTTCTAACAAATATAAAAAAAACATCACTTTCTACTTCATTGGGGGGGAAGGGTAATACACAATTACAAATGACTGTTTCAACATGTCATTCCCACTACTAGTTTTAGAAGCAATAGAAAAGGAAAAAGGAAAATTATAAAGATCCTATTTGTTTTGAAAATAGCTACTCACGATGAAAAACGATTAAGATGGGATAGAATAACAGAGACAACAACAGGCTTTTATAGTATCTTTAAACCATCTATTTGTTGATCAGAAGCCATTCATAACTTTCCAGAACAGTTTCTATAGTGAGATAAGACACCAGACCCGGGATAGGAGTGAGGGGGCTATAGAGAATAGATGTTGGGGAAAGGGAAGCAGTACTGATCTCTTACTCAAGAAACTGACTAGGGCAGTGGTCAGCAAACTGTGGCTCTTTGGCCCCTTGAGTGTTCTAACGCCACTTCTTCAAATTAGACTCGCCCAGGCAGAAAACCAACTTCTGCGCATGGGCCACGAAGTTTCGATCGCACTGTACATGTGTGCCTACTAGTGGTATTTTGTAGAAGAGCCACACAAGGGGCCAAAGAGCCGCATGAGGCTCGAGAGCCACGGTTTGCCGACCACTGGACTAGGGTAATTGCCCTAGCTAGTTTGACTCAATGGATAGAGCATCAACCTGTGGACTGAAGAGTCCCAGGTTCAATTCTGTTCATGGACAAGTAACCTCAGTGGGTGGAAAGCAACCAATCACCTCAATATTTCTCTCTCTCCCCCCCCCCCCCTTCCATTCTCTCTAAAAATCCATGGAAAAATATCCTCAGGTGAGGATTAATGAAAAAGAAAAAGAGCCCTAGCTAGTCTGGCTCAGTGTACAGAGTGCCTACAAACTGAAGGGTCCCTGGTTCAATTCCAGCCAAGGGCACATGCCTGAGGGCCTGCTGGAGGTAGCCTATCAATGATTCTCTCATCATTGATATTTCTATCTCTCTCTCCCTCTACCTTTCTCTCTGAAATCAATAAAAATATATTTTTTAAAGGAGCTGGAGGGGGACAATGGGGGGAGAAAGGCAGACATATGTAATACTTTCAACAATAAAGATTTTAAATAAATTTACTATGCCCTAGCTGGTTTGGCTCAGTGGATAGAGCATCTGCTTGTGGACTGAAGGGTCCTACGTTCGATTCCGGTCAAGAGTACATGCCCAGATTGCAGGCTGTCCACAGTAGGGGATGTGCAGGAGACAGCCAATTAATGATTCTCTCTCATCATTGATGTTTCTCTCTCTCTCCCTCTCTTTTCCTCTCTGAAATCAATACAAAAAAAATTTAAAAAGTCTCTCTTTATTAAAAAAAATTTACTAGTATAATGAATGAAAGTAAATAGTTAAAGGGCATAAGGATCCATAAAGAGTATGGTTTTGTGTGTTTTTTGGGGGGGAGGTTAAAAAAAATGGTGATAATCTAGGCATTCTTATAAGGGGGGGGGGGGGGGAGTTATACTGTGTTCCCCCAAAAAATATATACATGCTTTGAATAATTATAAAGGAAGTGTTCATGAAAATCTCATTTTCAAAATATACTAGAATCTAGACATTGTGTATTCAATTTTTTGGCACACCCTGTATAAAGACACTGAAGCGAGATAATATTAAAGAGCATGTAATAAAGAGCATGTAATATTAAAGAGCATGTATATTCCCATACGTGGAAATTATAGAATTTCCACGTATGGGAATATACATTAGTCACAACCAGCCTATCCTATTCTTTGTTGCTTCATTTAAAAAACCTACATGCTAAAACCAGGTTAATTTTGTTAAAAACACCATGTAGTATTCTTTTCTCCAAATTTTCTAATAAGTCTTTAGCTGCCAAATCTTTTGTCTTACTGTTGTGTATATTATGGCTCCCATTTGTTTTACCGCCACAAAAGCCTTATATAGGAAAATAGGTTACAATGATAACATAAAGTATGAAAATAGATTAGACTGACTAATTAGGGACAGAAAATCCAAGTTTGAATTCTGGCTTTAGTTATTCGCTGTGATCCGATATCTGTAAAATGAAAAAATGATCTCTCAGGACTGAGTCTTGCATAAAACCAATCCCCAACCATCCCAGAGCTTTATAATCAGAGAGCTTAAATTTCCTTTATAAGCACTTCTATTTACCATTTTGTCACTATTTTTCCCCCCACACAGGTTCTCTTTTAACAATCATTTTATCAGTACCTCCAGAACCTAGTAGTGTCTTGATAAATACTTCTAACAAGAGAGGCACTTGATAAATACTTTTTATAATTATAATGATATCCTCCCAAGAGTAGAAAGATTTTTAAGGTCAGTGTAATTACCATTACACTGTAGTACTTATAGTGTTATTTGCATTGTTTTTATAGGAAATGTGATTTTTAACTTCCAATTTTAAAATGCCAGAAACATCTTCTCTTACTCCAGAAAATATTTTAAATCAGTGTCACTCAAAATGTAGTCTGCAAACTGAGGTCTCATTGGGAAAATTTACCACTCCACAACAAGGTAAGAAGTTATGAATAAGAGTTTAAAAACTTTAATAGAAATTTAATATTGCCATAACATACAAGTATGTGATTAGTGTATTTACAAAAGTATCCATCTACAAAAGATGAGAAAATAAAAACAAACAGAAAGGTCCTTCATTACAGAGGGTTTGAGACCATTTTAAATAGTACATTATGAGTTAAGTGAGATAGCAAGTACATTCAGCCATCATTTTAACATTGTTTCTTTGAGAAAATAAAATCCTCATTTCAATTAGCCAATTTAAAAAATCACTCTGGGAATGTAATTTGCTATGCACATTTTCTCCTCCTCTTCTCCCTCCTAAAAGTAAATACTCTGATTTGTGCCTACAATAAAAGCAACAAAGAGGTGTAGTTGATCCTTTCCATAGGTGGTTTCATCAAAGGAAAAAGGCGTTTTCTTCCCCTTCCCGATTTACCCTCTTCCCTCTCTGATGGCTCCTATATTTACATCTTATTAAGCTAGATCACAAAAAGGGAAGGAAAGAAACATGTAGTATTGATTAGGCAGGGATATTTGGTTTTAGACTGTACAGAGTCCAGATGATCAGTAGTTAAGATATCAGATAAAAATTTGATTCATGCCAAAACCGGTTTGGCTCAGTGGTAGAGCGTCGGTCTGCGAACTGAAAGGTCCCAGGTTCGATTCCGGTCAAGGGCATGTACACTGGTTGCGGGCACATCCCCAGTGGGGGGTGTGCAAGAGGCAGCTGATTGATGATTCTCTCTCATCGATGTTTTTAACTCTCTATCCCTCTCTCTTCCTCTCTGTAAAATCAATAAAACATATTAAAAAAAAAAAAAAAAAAAAAACAATAGTCAAACACACAGAACCAAAATTTTCATTCTGGAAAAAGATCAAGATTAGTGCCTCTAGTTTGGTACACATTAATCTGATAGTTGCAAGTGTAAGGTTTCATTTCTGGGGCCAAAACTTAATTACCTCATAACAGTTTCATTATAAATTATTTGGCATCTAGCCGAAACCGGTTTGGCTTAGTGGAAGAGCGTCAATCTGCGGACTGAGAGGTCCCAGGTTCGATTCAGGTCAAGGGCATGTACATTGGTTACAGGCACATCCCCAGTAAGGGATGTACAGGAGGCAGCTGGTCAATGTTTCTCTCTCATTGATATTTCTAGCTCTCTGTCCCTCTCCCTCTCGGTAAAAAATTCAATAAAAAAAAAATTATTTGTCACCTACTTTGTTAGATGTTAGTTACCTAACTTTTCTTATACATTTAATGCTATCTATAATAAAAGTGTAATATGCTAATTAAATCAGACATCCTTCAGACGACCTTCTAAGCAAAGATGGGGTTTCGAGGGAAGCCTGGGTCCCGGGTACCTGCTGGTGGCCAGAGGGAAGCCTGGTTCCTCTTGTGGCCAGAGGAAGCCAGTGCTGGCAGCCAGGGAAAAGAAGGCCTACACTTGCACGAATTTTGTGCATCTGGCCTCTAGTAATGTATAAAGCTGAGAAACTGATGACTGCTCCAAGCCCATTATTTTGGAATCTGGTTTCTTTTGAAGTTCAGACATAAGAATGGGAGCCCTTTGTAGTGAGGGAATCCATTACATACAAATCAATCACCTTCTAGAAATACTATGGACAAACATACTAGTAGAGGAATTATTGTTAACACCCATATTTTACAAAGGAACATTTTTTTTTTACAAAGGAATGTTTATAAAATTAGTACATAACCACTTAAATTTTAAGAATCAGATATGCTCAGCAGTGATTGATATGGCACCTTCAGAAACAGATATGTAAAAAGAAATTTACAGCCCAGATTCTGAAAAAGAAACAACTAAAACTCAAGTATGAAGAGATGATAATTTGAAAACAACTTCAAAATGTACACTCAAGGCAGCCAAATTGTCAAAACAAAGGAAAACATCAGATCTTATTAATGATGGAAAAGACATAATCAGCCGAAGCTGGTTTGGCTCAGTGGAAGAGTGTCGGCCTGGGGACTGAAGGGTCCCGGGTTCAATTCCGGTCAAGGGCATGTACATTGGTTGCGAGCACATCCCCAGTGGGGGGTGTGCA